TTAAATGGCTTCCAAAATCCACAAATGCTACACCTGATTGTCCAAGCATCACATCTGAAAGAGAATGAAACTCTTCTGATAAGAGTTCTCCATCGCTGGAGAGATGATACTACTTCAGAAAAGGTTGGGTCCCATTAAAATAGATTGAAGTATTCAGCTAGCACTTAATTTTCATCATTGGTATCCACCATTATCCATATACAGCATGTAAGATACAGACTCCAGCATCTCACAGTCTCCACCATTGCACAGTACAGAGAAGGCGCTTCAGTGGGAGAGAGAGAGCTTACATATCAGCCTCGCTCAGATGTTCCAGGGCAGAGAGCCCCTTAGAGAAGTGGTTCTCAACCACGTTCATGCCCATCTCTAGAGATGTTTATTCCTTTGGTCTGGGAGCCTAGCATTAGATGTTTTATTGGGGTACTGGAGATTAAACCCAGAGTTTTGTGCCTGGTAAGCATGCAATCTGCCATTAAGTTACACCCCTATCCCTAGCACCAATGTAATTTTAATAAAGCATCTCAAAGAAGTAGAGGTGTGTCTCGAGTATTAGATACCAGCTTTGAATGAAAGAGCCAAGCCTGAGCTCAAGCCCTAGTACATATGTGTGACATATGTGTATGTGTGTGTATGTGTATGTGTACAACTCCAACAAGATACTCAAGATAGCATCATTATGAGAGAGATCCTTTTGAGACTGTACTTGCTGGAGTATCTTTTTACACACTCATCTGCCCAGACCAAGAGCAATGTCTTCCTACTTATATATATATATATAGCTCTAATTCTGCTTTGGCGCCTTAAACATGGAAATGCAAAAATTGTATGAGTGTTTGCAATGACCTAACAGTTGACCTCAAATTTCCTAATTTGCATCTAAGGACAAGCTGCTAACAGTGAGAGAAGAATGCAGGGAACACCCACTGCCCTGCTGCTTCAGCCAAAAACCACTGCTCAGATGATTCCTTGGCAGTGGTCAACCCTTGCATCTTTGATTCTGAATGGATTAGCTCAAAACTCCAACTCAAAATGTCAGGACAGTTTAGAAAAGAGCCATTAAGCATAATCGCGGATCAACAACCCTCGATTATCCTGCTATTGAAAACAAACGACAAACAACAACAAAATACACCACTGAGCTGGTGGGAACTTTGCCCACAGAGTAAGGCAGTTACAACTACAACCACAATTTCATGGCACCCCTCAAAACAGCCACACAAAAGGATGAAGAGGGCTTACAAGAAGAAGAGCAAATTTAGAGGTGACTGAGGTCTATGACTGGCATCTGGGCTTTGGAGGTTGCTTAATAGATGCCAGCTGACACTGCTCTAGATCCCGGGCTCCAGTCCTGATGCAGGCAGTGACTCAGATAGAAAACTCCCAGATACTTGTCATATCTAATCTAAAAGAAAGGCACTGAACATTTTTAACCCAACAGCACATAATTGTAATGAAATGATTCTGGCCAAGAGGGCCCATTTGTAATAATGAATTCAAATCAGATTCATAGAAGCTATAATTCAACCATAGTGAATAGCACCTTCATTTTCCATATCGTCTCCCTTCCAAAAAGGCAAAATAACTCAATATTCAAATAATTGCTCTTACTTTTCAAGTAGCCCTCTGAAGTAGTCACAGGGCTGATAATATTAACTCACTTATACAAAGCAGGTTTCCTTCCACATCTGAAATCTCCGTGGTATCTCCAGCATACCACTTTCAATTGTCCCCCACAACAATGAAAGACTTGTCACAACAGAAAGGACGCCATTTTCCCCTAAGCTATGTGATTTTTCACTGGAAAATCTGGAGGTGGACTGAGGCTTGTTCACCATTGCTCTGCTCCTTTTCTAACGTCATGCAACATTTAGATACAGAATGGTAATAAATAAGATCTCTGGCGGGTACAACTGAAAATGATTTCTGTGGCTAATAGACATGGATATTATTAGTTCCATTTGGAAAACTAACTTCCCAAGGAATGACTTCCCAGTGAACCCTATCAAGAAGACACTTAAGTGTGACTAGACATAAGAATTACAAGCTTGCAAATGTGCCTCATATGCGTGAGGCATTGGGTTCAATCCCAAGTACCACATAAATAAATAAATCGAACAAATACTAAGATTTTCAAAGCAAAAAAGAGACAAAGTACATTTATCTGTGGTCAAGGTCATTGTCATGGATTTCTAGCAAGTGCAAACAGACTGTCCCTCAGACTACTGAGGAACTAGATGCATTGGAAACAAAAGGCAAGAGTCGAAGACCCATATTAATTGGCAGGGATGCTTTCTTATTTTTCTAGGAAACATTGTGATCATACTGAACTCAAAACTTCTTAGAAATCAGGGAATGATATGAATTTCAATGATGAAAGGAAAGAAGCCGTTAGTATTCAAGAAAATCAGAATGGGGGCATTGTATAAAAATACAGGCAGAAACCAGATACCAGTGGCTCACGCCTGTAATCCTTGCTACTCAGGAGGCTGAGGTCTGAGGATCACAGTTTGAAGCCAGCTGGAGCAGGAAAGTTCATGAAACTCTTAACAAAAAGTCAGAAGTGGAGCTCTGGATCCAATGGTATATGACCACCTTTAAGGGTAAATCTAAGTGACAGAAACCAAGCCTCAGTACTAGCACAAAATTAAGTAAGTAATAATAAAGAAGCCAGGTGCAGGAGCTCATGCTTATAATCCCAGCTACTTAGGTGTCAGAGATCAGGAAGCTTTGAGGGCAGCCTTGGCAATTGAACTCATCTCAACAAACAAAGCAGGTATAGCTAGCTAGTGGCTAGTAATTACTGGCTAGCTAGCTAGTAATTCCAACTATGTTAGGAATGTCACATACTGAGCCTTTTGGGGAAAAACCATGAAACTTATATGAAAAATCACTAAAGCACAAAAGGGATAGAAGCATGGCTCAAGTGGCAGAACATTTGCCTAGCAGATGCAAGGTCCCAGGTTCAAGCCCTAGTTCTACCTCCAAAAATCAAAAGTAATAAATATGCACAAGGCAGCATTTAGAGGACCTTAGAAAATTAGCATGTGGACAATGTTCTTGATTTCTCTGTTTGAGCGATAAAAATAAAGAAGAGAAGCAAAACTAACTATAGAATATGTGCCGACTTAATAAATTTAAAAAAAATTAAAGCATAAAACCAATTATTCAGGTAACAGCATTTATACTTGAATATAAGTTGTTAGGGATTTTTTTCCCACAAAGCATGAGAAGCAAGTATTCAGCTTTTTCCTTTTTTTTAAAAATTCACATTCTCATTACCAAGCCCAGCTGCTAAACATTACAATTTGAAGATCATGAAAACAGGCCAGCAGCTAATAAAAAAATAAAAAAGTAGATGGAAGTGCGCTCTCTACTGATTGCATGCACTTACTGCATCCCAGAAAGGAGAAAACTGGAGGTTCTGGTGTAATTCTGAGAGGACTAAAGACTTTAGAAAGTTCAGAATTGAGCTAATCATACTCATTGCTGGACCTCTTTGTCTCCATGGGAAGACCAAAGGTGGGGAAGTGTTTGATCCACTTCACACTACTATTGCTTGACCTTTGCTCTGGCTCCTAGGATCTTGGAACTAACGGGTCTTCTACAAATGTGCAGCACACAGGGCTCAGGAAACGTAACTCAGGAGCCTTCTTTGACAAGTGAAGTAGGGATATCACATTCTCATTTAGGACAAGCTAAGGTGTGCCCACAGGGCAGGAAAACTTGTCCCTTATAGTATCAGGCTCTCTTCCTCTCTTCTCCATCTTTAGTTACCAGCAGACTGGCCTCTGAGATCTGTTCTATAGCTCAAAACACGATTCAGCTAAAAACCCAAAGTAGCGCTAATCCAAACTACACTCTTGCATTCAGACAGAATAACCCGGGTCTCCAAGGCTCTCCTTCCTTCCTTCCCCAGGAAGAAACTTGCTCCTCCTTTGCAGGCAGGCCAAGGGGAGAGCAGGAAGGAACTCCCTCACCCCTTCATTCTCTCCTTGCAAAAGCCAGGCACACTACACTGGCTGCAGAATCTGGGTCAGAATGTTTTATTTTCACCATCACCATCAAAGTCATAGGCAGGGCAAATGCATTCACCCTGTGTACATTGTGAGACATAGTTAAGCTGGGACGTCCCTGAATCCGTCTCCTAGGACCAGAACTGCCTCATTAAAGGGATAAAAGATGATATCTGCTGAGCTGGTGGAAAGTGGTGGCTGCATTTTTATTAAAGTCTCCACTGCAGCAGGCCCAGTCCCCAAAGGTTCATATTCCAAGAATCTCCACCCCTCCGCCTAGAGAGTGGAAGTGATTCTCTGTAACTCATTAAGCTAAAACAAAAAGCTTCCCTATTGTGCTTCTCACACAGCAATGATGTTGGTGCATAAAAGCTACATGTTTCTCTGCATGGCCCAAGATTGCAAAATCAAAACAGCTCTCACATTTACAAGAGAGGCCCCCAGGCATACCACCCAGGGTTGGCATGAGTGGTTCTGTCTTCCGCAGCCTCCTATCCGGCCTGGCAGTGGGTGAATGCAGAGTCTGAGAAAGGGGCTAGCCTGGACACCTTGAGAAAGCCTCTATTTCATCGCACCCTTCCGGACCTGCGAGAGACCCAAGGAAGGGTCTTAGGCTAGCCATCCCTGTGTACTTAAACACAGTACCTCAAGTACTCCTCTCAGTGTCCAGAAGTCAGTCCAGCTGTGCCAAGACTCACAAACACCTAAAGTCCCAAGGGCTGAATACAGGGCTCTCTGGTAAGATCATCCACCAAAAACAAAACAACAACAACAACAAGTGAGAGCAAATAACAACCCCGTCCGTCCAGGCAAAAGGGGAACAAGTCACCTCACCAAGCCAGTGGCCGCCACTTGGGCCTACAACAGACCCTCCCCTCCTCTGGGACGCCCTAGCCCCTCCGGAGCCTTCTGGTCTCCCTGCCCTCACCGCTGGCCCCAGAAAAGGCACCCGAGAGACTCGGCCCCGGTTGAAGCCATGCTCCCTACCTGAGGGTGGCGCTCTCCCCCTGCCGGACCGTCACGTTGTCCATCGCTTTGGGGAAGGTGGCATCTCCGCTGCGCACGGGCACTCCTGTGGGTACAAGGAACAGCAGCCTGAGAGACACGACCACGAGGCACTTCCAGGGCAGGAACAGGTACCCACAGACCCCCATCCTCGATGGCCACAACTTCCCAGAACTCCGGGCCGAGGCACGATGCGGGTGCCCCCCGCCCCCTGTCCCGCACACCAACCACCAGCCAGAAATGGGGGTGGGGAGTGGTGGTGTGTTGGAGGGGTGGGGGAGAGAGAGGACACCGAGACAGAGCAGCCAGGAGCAGCCAGGGAGAAGGAGAAGCCGAGTCTCCGGAGTCTAATAATTCTTCCTCAGTTCCTGCCTCAGCCTTCCAGCCCAGCAGAACCAGATGCCCCCCTCCTGCATCCAAAAAGAGCTTTCTCGATGCTCCCCCCTCCTGGGGGGGGGAAGGGAGGGAGGGAGGGAGGCAGCCCGGGAAGGAAAGGAGGAGATGGAAGGTGCCGGGATGAAGGTCACGGATTGCGCGTTCTCCGCCTGTGTCTCTTCGAGATGCTACTTTAAGATTCAGTTGGGCAGCTTCGGCGGAGATCTGGCATCAAAAGTTTATAACCCAAAGAGGAAGGCAAGTGTCTCTGACATGCAGGAGATGCCATCCATCAAAGCCTCCTGCTTCCAGGAGAGGAGAGGTTTTATTAGCTCACACATATGTATAGGTTGTATTTATAAACCGGTCCCACGTCCCTCCTCCCCCAAGGCGATCACAACTTCCCAGCCCGAGGCAGCCCGCCGCGGGAAGGATGCAGCCGAGGCGCTCCGTGGTGGGAGGTGATGTCCTCCCCCGCGGTCCGATGGGTGATCGCCGCCAGCCCCCGCCGAGGGCCGCGCGGCGCTGGCTCCGGGCGCACTGCGCGGACCGCGGCCCCCGCCTCCACCGGGGACGCGGCACGGGACGCGGGGACGCGCGGCCGCCCCGCTCAGCGGCCGCCCCCGGCGCCGCCTTCCACCCGGGAGCAGCCCCGACGCGCGCGGACCCCGACCGCCGCCCGGGTTGTCATGGCAGCAGCTCCATCCCTGACCGCCACTTTCTCCCCGTGCGGATGCCGAGCGCGAGCGGGCGGCGGGTGGGCAGCGCGGAAGGCGCGCTCATCCCAGCCGGGTGTGCGGGGACCCCACCTTAATCCCTGCCGCACCGCGCCCACCGCGGCTGGGGAATCCCTGCAGAGGTGGGCCTGCCCCCCCCCCGCACCTCACCCCGGGGCTCCACTCGCCCCCTTGATACACAAGCAAGCTGAGAAAATGCTACTGCGCCCCTCTAACTGGCTCCCCGGGTACCGGGTGGGGGTTGGGGAGTGGGGAGGAAGAGGAAGGAGAGGGAGTTGGTTCAGGGAAAGCAGCAAATTGAAAACTGACATTGGCACTTCGCCACGGACGCCTCCATGCAGAAGTTGACAACTCCACCCATCCCCCTGCTCCGAAGAACTGAAGTACATTTCACGTGCCCAGGTGATTACACCAGTCTGAGTACCTGCGCTCTCCACCTAGCCAAGCTTGGGGCTGGTCCCAGGGCACAGCCAGGCTTCCTGGGCCTGTGCAAAAAAAATATGGGAAAAGCTTGTTGCTCTGATGACACGCCAAGAAGCCCTTAGGACCCTTCCACTCCATATCCTGTCTCCCAAGCGGCAACACAACATGCCAAAGAATCCTCCATTATCCATGCATCTTATTTGTGATCAAAATAAAAAGGAAAGCAAGAGCTGGGAAAACCTGCAGGCTTGAAAGTAACAGAGCTGGGTTTCATTGGAGCCATCCATGACTTCATGGTCGCTACAGTGTCTGGAAGGGACCTGGGGATGGGTTCTCTGAAGACAGTCTCTCCTTATCTTTGGGCTCAGCCCCATCTCTTTCCCCTCTGAACCCCAAGGCTCAGCCCCATCTCTTTCCCCTCTGAACCCCAAGGCACCCACTCTCCTTGGGACTCATTCTGTTTCCTGCTTTACCTGGCAGAAGCCTCCTTCTCTGCGGTGGATCTTACTCTTCTATCTTAATTTAATGGTTGCTGTGTGCATCTGCTCTACTGTATTTTTCCCCCCTCAAAGCCTTTTGTTAAATTAGACTGGGCTAGGCACAATTGATGAAATAAAATGTAGTTCATAAGCCTTAAGCCTTTAGCGTTTATTACTTTAGTGAAAGATACAAAGCATACTACCTGCTCTCAGTTCTGAGCGACTGAGCACAAACACTGCCCCAGTCCCCCTGTGAAGTAGTTAGTTCACATAGATTATTGGGTTTCTTTTAGGTTTAAAAGTTTTAATTAGAACATCTTACTTCAGAAAAGAGAGAATAGTTATCACTCATCACATCAGTTAACAATGAAAACTAGAGAGTATTAGATTCCTTTCAGAGACCAGAATTGAATCAGGATTGAGAGATAAAACTCAGCTCCTGGGTGAACTGGGCCACAAGGCTGAGGGGGTCAGGGGACAGAAGAGGAAGGGGGAGGGGAGGGGACGGGACCAGAGGACAGCATGGAGAGGAGACAGGAGAGGGAGGATAAGTGGAAGAAAGGGGTGGGGAGGTGGAGAAGAGAGGAGTGAAGTAGAAAAGTAGAAAGGATTGAAAAGGGGGAGTGGATGGGACAGGAGAGGGGCAGGAGGGTGTAGGGGAAGAAGAAGAGAGAACTGGCCAGCCTGGGAGGGGAGAGGCCACTACAGGCTCTGGGAGCAGACCTACCACCTATTTGGAAGGACACAAATCTTTTCTCAAGACTTAAGTGTCCCTGGGTAAAATACGAATTTGAAATCGCCTAAAGATGAAAGGTGATTATTAATAAGCTTCCATGTGGGGGTGACATTGTTCAAGACGCATTGTCCTCATAAAATGATATGCTGAATTGAAACTCCTTTGTATAACTACTTGAAAATAATCAATGTTCTAATGTGAAAACAAAGATAAGTAAATAAAGGGTTTTTTTTTTTAACTTCGAGGGCGGGCATAAGTGAGAGGATGGCTATTCAGAAGTTCAGAATCCCACAGAAAGTTCCAACTTTACCTAATAAAATGGCTATCCAGTAATAAAAACAACTTCAAACTGTGTTGTTCAGGAATGGGGAAAAACTTACAGCTTGTGTTTATTTTACCCAGCTGCTGTGTGTGTGTCTGTGTGTCTGTGTGTGTCTGTGTGAGGAGGAACTATGAAATAGAAAGCTTGCTTTTGGTGCAGAGCCTGTTGATGTAACTGAGACACACGGGACTCATGGAGGACAGCGATTGAGGAGACATCTTACTCAGCCAGATGAAGTTGATTGCCTTGTGACCTCACGATATGAATCAGTACGCAACTAGAAATGTGTCATGAGAACAGAGTGGTTAAGAAAGATTGGCTTCTGCTTTTTAGTCTAAGGAAGTCACAAGAAATAAGAGTTCCATGCTCAAGCATGATGCTGTAGACCAAATCTTGTAGAAAACGCAGAGTAGTTCTCAGAGTAGCCAGTGGCCCAATCAGCATAAGCCATCCATGAGATTCTAAATGGAGGCAAATATGGGATAAGTGTCTTTCCCAATCACCCATTGCCCTGAGATCAGAATTCGGCTCAGCTGAATTTTAACATGTCTCTCTTTTCTGTCACAGCCCACATCACATTCTTTCCAGTGTACAGTACATCTGCCTAGGCTAACTGCAAGAACCTGTGTTTCCATGAATTAAAATGCCTGGCTTCAAATGCTAGCATTGTAGCTTACAAGCTCTGTTATCCTTGGCAAATTACTTACCCTCTCAATTATGTCTCTTAGCCTGTAAGCGGTGTTAATAAGAGATTATTCATCGTTGGGCATAGCGGCACATGCCTGTAGTCACAGCTGCTTAACTACTCAAGAGACTAAGTCGCCAGAACCCAAGAATTTGAGACTAGCCCAAGAAACACCACAGAATGTCATCTCCAAACTCCCACCAAAGCTTCTTCCCAGAATTGCTCTGCGTGTCATAGCACAAGCAGAGGCCCCTGCCACAGTGCCTAGTACCATAACAGCCATCAACGATGCACAGCATTAAGTTCCTATCCTCTATTGTTATAGTCGAAATAATGAAATCAACAAAACCAAAACATGTACACAGAATAACCAAATGGGAAAACAACATCTTAAGAAACAATGTAAGCAAGTCAACCGAAAACCACAGGCACACAAGATTCACATTGTGAAAAGATATCCATGTGGCTCTGTAATGCTTAAGAGAGCAAGCTACTAAGAGCTATAGAGTTCAGTTGCTATCAGAGTGTATTATCTTTCTGTCTCCTTCCAAGTTCTGAATTCATCCTGTATATAACTGCCTCTCTCCTTTGAGATCGTAAGGCTCTGAGAGCAGAATGCTTGCTCATCTTGATTCCTCAGCTACCATCTAGAGACCGCTCAAAGAACTTGGCAAATGTTTGTTGCCTGGGGCATCTCATCTCCATTTTCCATAGGCTCCAGAGAGCCAGTCCATTCATTAGTTGTGATCTGGAGTGATAGAAGTAACAAGATAGATGCATTGATAGATGGATAGATAGAGGTAGAAAATACAGAGAAGATTTCCTAGGGAAATAAGCCCATACCATTTATAAGGCTAACACATGCCTTTCACAAGCTAGAAATCCTTGGAAACTGGTAGCATGGCTAGGTCCAAGTTCAAAGCCAATGATGAAAGTCTAGATATGAGGGGGAGGCCTGAGGACCCAGAAGGCTGCTGCTTTAAGTCCTAGGGTCTAAAGTTCAGACAACCTGAAGTGTTGATATACAAAGAGAAGATGGGTATATTTATCACTAGGAGATGAGTAACAAAAGCTCCTTTCCTTTGCTTTTGTTCAGTGGGTTCCCAGCCTACTGGGTAGTACCCAACCACAATGAGGATAGATGATCTTCCCCCACTGCATCCAAAGAGATTCACACATTAATCCTCTTTGGAAACACCTCGAAGACATACTCTAAAATAGTACTTTTTACTAGGTTTCTTGCATTCCTTAATCCAGTTAAATTGACAGTAAAATTAAACATCAAGTTTGGTGAAGCTGACAACAGAGACCCAATAATTTCCACACTAAAGACTCCTGGTAAGACTCCCCTTCACTGACTGCTACCCAAATACTTCAACCTTAAAGGACCATAGGCATCAAATGCATTAAAATGTCTCCCTACAGAAAAGTTGAAGAATCCTACGAAGGGGCTGATTTCCACAGACATACAACAAAATCAGCCTTTTTGCTTTATAGCCACCCCACATGTAATTCTGTAAGTCAAATAACAGGAGCCAGACCTGTGGTTACAGGTGTCTGTGATTTGAGAATCTATGTTCAAAGCCAACCCAGGCAGACAAATCTATCACACTCTTATCTCCAAGTAACTAGCAAATAGTCAGGGGTGGAGGTGTGATTTGCATGGTAGAATGCCAGAACATGGGGCTCTGAGCTCAAATCCTAGTAGTGGTTGCATGTGTGTGCACACACACACATACACACAGACACACACACACACACATACACACACACACATACACACCAAGAACATTATATTGAGACCTAAAAGCCATACAAAGTGTTTTCAAAATATGCAATAGTATTATTACTGTCTTACCCCTCTCTGTTCTCACCAGAATGTCTAGTAGAATGATTGTGACAGGAAGACAATGGAGTTTTCTCCTGCAGAGAAGGGGGGGAGTGGGGCACAAAACACAAAATATGGG